CAGAATTTTGAGAGCAATTCATTCAACTGGATACATAAATATTAATCAGTATTATTTGATACATCTTACCACTTGTATATTGCAACACTACTTGTGCAGCGTGCTCTGTCGTACAGCGAGCTCTGAGAAACGGAAATCTGGAAATCGTGATAATCTCAAAACGAGGCTCTGCCGCTAGAAACGTTTGGCGGTCTGGTACGGACTTGATATTACATCATTCACATTGTGCGTTACAAAATGACACTGAATAAGCGCAAAGAACACATAACAGGGTGTAACCAGTGAGCCAGATGAATTGTGAATCATTTTACAACCTCATCAAACAGGGGCAGTCTGTGACGTCTTAGTTAATGTCATACTGTCTACACCTCGCCATAAAAATAGAAATACGATGTTATTAAAGTCTAAAATTAAAATTAACTTGTAAATACCATTTTCTTATGAAACATGAAATTGGAATTCAGTGTAACCATTGTTGTTTGTGGTGTCTCTTTTCACTTTCACACGAGAAAATTCGGATCGGCTGAAAAGTAGGCCATTGTCTGAATATGTCAATGAGACTCATGTTTTGGTTTGTCCAGGTGTACCTGAGACACCTGCCATTGAGGCAATGTCCAGGTGTACCTGAGACACCTGCCATCGAGGCGATGTCCAAGTGTACCTGTGACACCTGGCATTGAGGCGATGTCCAAGTGTACCTGAGACACCTGCCATTGAGGCGATGTCCAGGTGTACCTGAGACACCTGCCATCGAGGCGATGTCCAAGTGTACCTTAGACACCTGCCATTGAGGCGATGTCCAGGTGTACAGGGGACACCTGGTGTGTTATAGTTGTGATTTAGTACTGGCTAAATCGCGCGCGCGTGTGTGTGTATGTGTGTGGTGTGTTAGATTGTATGCATGTGTGTCCTATGCAGTGTTGTCATATGAACAGGTCATGATCTATACCTTCCTCATTGTACTTCAGTATCAGCCAGTGGAGGTTTTTGTCCTGTATAATGTCAAATGAATAGATCGTGATTTATACCTTCCTCATTGTACTACAGTATGTCCAGCCAGTTGAGGTTGTTGTCCTATACAGTGTAGTCATATGAATAGATCATGATCTATATTTTCCTCATTGTACTACAGTATGTCCAGCCAGTAGAGGTTTTTGTCCTATACAGTGTTGTCATATGAATAGATCATGATCTATACCTTCCTCATTGTACTACAGTATGTCCAGCCAGTAGAAGTTTTTGTCCTATACAGTGTTGTCATATGAATAGCTCATGATCTATACCTTCCTCATTGTACTCCAGTATGTCCAGCCAGTAGAAGTTGTTGTCCTGTATAATGTTGTCAAATGAATAGATCGTGATCTATACCTTCCTCGTTGTACTACAGTATGTCCAGCCAGTGGAGGTTGTTGTCCTATACAGTGTAGTCATATGAATAGATCGTGATCTAAACCTTCCTCATTGTACTCCAGTATGTCCAGCCAGTGGAGGTTGTTGTCCTGTATAATGTCAAATGAATAGATCGTGATCTATACCTTCCTCATTGTACTACAGTATGTCCAGCCAGTTGAGGTTGTTGTCCTATCCAGTGTAGTCATATGAATAGATCGTGATCTATACCTTCCTGTCCAGTATGTCCAGCCAGTAGTCATATGAATAGATCGTGATCTATACCTTCCTCATTGTACTCCAGTATGTCCAGCCAGTAGAAGTTGTTGTCCTGTATAATGTTGTTAAATGAATAGATCGTGATCTTTACCTTCCTCATTGTACTCCAGTATGTCCAGCCAGTTGAGGTTGTTGTCCTATACAGTGTAGTCAAATGAATAGATCGTGATCTATACCTTCGTCATTGCACTACAGTATGTCCAGCCAGTTGAGGTTGTTGTCCTGTACAGTGTAGTCATATGAATAGATCATGATCTATATTTTCGTCATTGTACTCCAGTATGTCCAAGCCCAGCACCACTGAACCACACAGTGATTCTGATCTCTGCACTCAATTCACATTTATTACTTGTCTTGGCATGTATGTTCTATAGTGCTATTCCAGTTCCCTTCGTTACAATAAACAGTTATCAATAATGTATAAGATGAGAACGCTGGTGTCTTAGAAATATATGATATATATCTCTGTTGCTGCCTTTTAGAGGGGATTCAAATACAGGGGAGACAGTACAAGGATATCTTTATTCATTTTGTTGTCAAAATCAATTGAAGAAAATACTTACTGTTCTGCTAATACGACCCTACGCGGCACCATTACGTTTATATGTTCCTTATGCGAAGTAACAGAAAAACGGGTAATTTGGATGGAGACAGTAATCGATAAGCTCCCTATAACTACCTCAGCCTGTGGAATTAGTTTCTGGTGTGGTAAATTGCCGGTGGTTAACGTGGTGTTTCGGGTGATCGTGAACATAGCTCGTTAGGTCACGCTGCTGCCCTTCTTTCAGAAACATATTCACCAAAAACCGTTTAGTTAAAGCTTACAGTATCGACCGATTCAAGTACCGGATGTTAGGTTTGTCTGGACGAGATTTCCCCTGTAGATGTTAAGGTTTTTATTTCTTTTGCTGTTTTCAGATGTCTTACAGCTTGAGGAAGCCCATTTCTGGTGTCCCCGCCGTGATATTGCTGGAATATTGCTAAAACCGGCGTAAAACTAAACTCACTTACTCACTCACTCTTACAGCTCGAACCCTGTGCTAAACTTGAACTCAGCTAATAAGAAAACTGATGAAAAGAGAAGGAGTGTTGTTTTACGTTGTAATTAACAATGTACCAAGAAAACCATAGCATTCTGTATGATATCAGCCCATATCAGACAACCTATAGTTTAGGACATGATCAGCGACCCATGACCCTGACCCGATCTGATAACCCGTAGCAATGAAACAGTCTGCCACTTATTGTTCGTGTGCATACGTCGTCGTCGTTAATATTTAAGATATGTAAACGTCTGGTTGAGTGAGTCGGGTTTTACGCCGCTATTAGCAATATTTCAGGAATAGCACCAGAAAACACTAGATATGGGCTTCACACATTTTACCCACGTGGGAATCGACCCATGGCCTTTGGGGTGCTAGTGAAGGCTCGACCCACTAGGCTACCCCATGTTATGATGAAAGCACGATCAATGTCGCCAGGGTACAATGACACACAATCCACACAATTACAGAGTCGGCCCCGTATCCGTATCATAGGCGGACACAGGGGGTCGGAGGGGTGGCCGGGGGGTGGGACAAACCCCACCCCACCCAACACGCTCTTTTGTCCTCAAAGTTTATTAAATGATCATTCAGACTCGTGGAAAGGGGGAATATGAACTGCACCCCCCTTTGTCAAAAAAGCTGTATCCGCCCCAGCCTATTTTAGTTGGCGTCGGGGTGCCTTTGGCAAATTCTGTATTTACACCTCAACAAGGGCTGCAGGGTATTGGTAGTGCCTGTGAAATGCTTCACAACCACCTGCTCACGGTGCAGTCGGAGTCTTACAATCGGCTCTGGTTTCTACAGAGATTTGATTTAAGCATGGAAAGCAATTTGTCGCTTCTATAAACAGTCGATATTAGAAATGATTAGTTTTGTCGGGTTTATATACAGTATATATAAGAAGTGATTAGTTTTGTCGGGTTTATATACAGTATATATTAGAAGTGATTAGTTTTTTCGGGTTTATAAACAGTATATATTAGAAGTGATTAGTTTTGTCGGGTTTATATACAGTATATATTAGAAGTGATCAGTTTTGTCGGGTTTATAAACAGTATATATTAGAAGTGATTAGTTTTGTCGGGTTTATATACAGTATATATTAGAAGTGATTAGTTTTGTCGGGTTTTTATACAGTATATATTATAAGCGATTCCGTGGCGTTTGACTGGCTAAACTAGCTGGCTTGCATGTACGTTTTCATAAACCGGAAACGTAATAGGCCAAGTCCACTATCGGCCGAGTTTCTCTTCAACGCGGGCTGACAACGATGTCCCATTCCGCATTGTTGTCTGCATGTTTAGTGTTTAGGATTAATAATTAAGTGAGTGAGTTAATATTTATCGTCACATCGGCAATATTTCAGCCATATCGTATGATTAATCATTAATGCAGTCTGTGAAGGTGTTACTGTCTGTGAGGGTGTTGCCGTTGACGTATAGTATATATGTAGACGAACTGTCAGCTTGATTTCTTTTGCTTTTATAGAGTTGTAAACATGCGTGCACACTTTAAAACAGTTTCGATTAAATTATACATTGTACTTGTTGTTTTTTCTACACAAATTGCGATACAAATTTAAGCTCGCTCTCTGAGAATTTCAGTTACAACACGGCGTTCAATAATCATGTGACTTATCGGCTAAGACCGAGTCAACGCACAACGTCTGTACATTCCACACAACCCGCTCTAAAGTGCCTGTATTTTAACCGATGAATACCATGCTTACTGAGCACTTTGTAGTGACGGAGATATTGTGATGGGACTGCTCATAAACTGTATGTTATAAGAATAGAGCTACCTATTTGCCGTGAAAGGAGACACAGTGGATGGTCGTGTGTGATGAGGTAGATGACTGCATATCACCACGGACCTATGTTCACGATGTCAATCACTGGATAATCTGGACGCGAACCTGATAATCAGACGCAAATATTTGCGGCGCCAGAGACCGAACTAAACTGCATAATATACTGAATTTTGAAATGATCATTAGACACAACTATCACAACTAGAATCACAACACTTTCACTGGGTGTCCTCATGTAAACATGCAAGTTTTTATATCAAGCCCTTGAATGAACATTCCAAGGTTATTCTTACTACTTTTCAAATACAAAGAGCAGAGACCATCTGTTGCCCAAAACTACTTGTCGTTTCAAACCTAAATCAAATGAAAGAAACACATCATGACATCTGCTAACGTAAATTTCATACCTTTTTTTTAAACAACATCAACAAATTGCAATCACCTTTAAACCGCAAACACCATGTTATACAGCTCACCTTTGGTATCCACGGTTTGAGACACTTCCAAAACAACCCGTCCCCTTAGTATTTCTCCTGGATGGCAAACTCCGCCGGAATTGGTAACACAAATATCGAAAGTCTGTAGCTTCCCCATCATTTACAGCATGAAACAGCAGCGACGGCGTCAAGCAGCATCTGCGACCACAGTCGTCGGGGAACTCCACTGCAGCACTGCACCGCACTGCGGTCTGACTGACTCGTGTTTGTAAACTGTCTTATGTAGCGGCGCTGTCTCATAGGATATTGTTCTCGAGGCTACACGTGATAGTAGTAATGGCTTCCTCTGTGTTGTCAGCACCATTCCGTAAACATGTTTACGTAACAAGATGTGACCGATCTGATTCCATGGCATGGTGAACGTCATCTGTGACATCAGTGTATATGATCTATATATTAACAATAATTGTGTACGCAGTTATGCATTAAAAACTGGAATGTATTCATTTAAGAAGGACTGTAATGAAAGATGATGAACATTTAAAGCAGACAATGGCAAGAGCGGGAACATAGACGAGAGTAGTATTTCGACCATGAACAAGTACATAATGCCACTCGATGATGGTTGGATGAATATGCAATATTTAACTTGCAGTTATTTATTTGGAATCAGAACCCGGAATGATTCGTCATCTCATTCTGCAGCAGCAGGTGTGAGTGAGTCAATGAAAGGTAGTACCGGCGACCAATGAAAAGAGGAAATACCATGGATATACTATAGGTTAACGATGAAAAGCATTACAAAATATTAAATATCCCCTATCCAGCTGCTTCCTCGTATAAACTAGCCACAAAAGAAACTGTGAACATATAAATAAATTTATGTAGGACCAACGTGTACAGAAACACAGTCATTAGTGAATTGAACTGAACACCTATGGCTAAGCTTCTGCTACTTCTTTGGATTGTCAATGGTTTTTACATGGGCACGTGCAACACGATAAGCTGCGTGGAGCACATGAATGTAAAAAACTGTCATCGATTTGTTAAGCTTAATTGTTTGACGTTCGACAAAAAGTAAAAGGCTTTTGAACGGCATATATATCACGCCACGCCTAACTGCACAACGTCATGAGGATATTGGGATGATCCGCGGGGAAATGTCTCAACGTCAGGTGGTCGCGCATTTCCAATGACACGGAAACACCATTTCAACCATGGTGCGACCTGTCAGAACAATAATAAGTTGCCGATCGCCTAGGTCCAGGACGTCCGCGTTCACAACGCCAAGAAGGATGGATAAATGGTAAGTAAATAAAACTGGTCATTTGTATAACGCCCTTTCCAAGAAGGATTGCTCAAGAGCGCTGATCACTAGTCGGCTTTTGCAAAGCATGCGTTTTGAGCTTTTGCTTGAAAGAACTGAGCGTGGTACAGTTCCTGATGTCCAGAGGGAGTTCCACAGAACTGGCCCTGCTTTCTCAAAGGCTGTCTCACCAGATGTTTTGGTTGTTTTTAGAACATCGAGCTGCATAAGACCCATCTCCGGCACAGGTTACTGTCTGCAATGGCCACTGCTCAAACACAGTCAGGAACCGCTAACGTCGTTACCGGATACGAGGGAGGAGTGCAGAGAAAGGGACAGCCAGGTGTGCGAGAAAGGATGGAGACGGCACAGCACAGGTTAATGAATCAATAACTGTGTCGGCACTTGTGCACGTGCTGCTCTAACACCTGGCTGTCCCTTTCTCTGCACTCCTCCCTCGTAACAAATAGTGAACTGTGTCAAAATTTTAATGATAGTTTGTTAAACAAATCTTTTAATTTTAGGACATAAATTCTGCAAACAAATCACAGAGTTGGTCTGACGTTTTGATTATGATCAGCGTTTCATTGATATTATATGTTTATTAGTTTTCGAGTTGCAATTCATCGGTCCGCTTCTGAGCCAAACGGACTATAATAGTTTAGCATACTACATCAACGGAAAAATCCCTCACATGTATATAACATAGGGAATACTCAGGGGGATGCTGCTGGAGGAGAATAACAAATTGATACCATCTGACTTAATTCTCCGTGGGTAAGGTAATAGATGCATCCCACAGTTGGCGGTATTGTCGACTACTAAAGTTAATACAGCGTTGCTGTAATTGAAATTGACGATCCATGTTCTGTGTCTGGGTCATGTGTGATCCGGTCACACATTGGCCACTGTGTCAGCCAGCACCACGGATCACAGATCGCAGCAGACCACAGATCACAGAGCTATGCACAGTCAGGAATCACCACCAATAATACCATTATAGTGTTTTTGTTGCATTATACATTCCATTCTCATCTGCGTAAATCCCAAAAGGCGAAATGCCGCATTAGCATATTCAGGATATCTCAGATATGATATATGTGACATAATTACAAAAATGAATATTTTCCTTTTCAATACATAAATCTATATTATTCAAACTTCAGAAGCGCTCCCCTGTGACCAAGTGCATCAAGTGGTGTGTTATGAAATTGGATGCACATATATTTAAAACCATCTGATGAGTCGAATATACTGTTTTCAATTCGAGCATTTTGAAACATACAGCGACGTCCTTTATTTGTGTCCAGATTCGATTATGGTTGGTTTATATTCGAGGTATTCGAGAATCCTTATGATTCTATTTTTGTCAACAGGGCAGTCGTTCTCGTTGGCTTCACGGAAGTGGTAAGCGTCAAGACATGTAACCTGTTCTTCCCACATTAAACATGTATGCTCTGAAATGCTGTTCACATCGGGGAGGTAACCATCTCACCTCACTGACTCTGTTATCTGTTTCATTGTCGGATCCAAGCGTAACACTCACGAATATACGTGGGTCAAATAATGTATGTCCAGTCACAACTCACCATTTGTTCGACATACACAATGTACTTCGACCAAAGAAACATAAGGGAAAAGAACATAGGATAAATTGAAGTAAACTAAAACTTTCCTGTACATGTTTGGACAAGGATGACTTACACACGCCAACCAGCCTGTCATACAAACAAACTGTGGACATCTGTTGAAATAGCCAATGGCAATACTGCGTAAAGACATGTTTAATGGCAAGGTTGTTGCCATGTTCCCCAAAAGCCAGCTAACAATATATCACCTCGGATTAGTCAGATCAACCGTCAACACCAGAGTATCACACCACAGACTAAACTGAAACCAAAACAATATCATGAAATAAGATGTATGGTATAAAACAACAACAAACACCAAACCCCTTCAAACAGAAAGAGGGGCGGTGGGTAGCCCAGTGGTAAAGCGTTCGTATGTCACGCCGAGAACCCTGGTTCGATTCCCCATATGGGTACAATGAGTGAAACTCATTTCTGGTGTCCACCGCCATGATATTGCTTGAATATTGCTAAGAGCGGCGTAACACTAAACTCACTCACTTACTCACTCACTCAACGAACATTGGACATCGCGTGATCCACTTCATCTGACCAGCGCCTGACACCGTTGTGTCAGGCTCCGAGTAAATGTATGGATGGTTGCCAGGGTTTCAGGGTAACTAAAAATGAGACGAGCAGCTAGTGATCGATCGATGGAAGTATATTAGATCAGGCAGAGACCATATACCGATATGGTCTCTGGATCAGGGTATCGTTTTTGTTTTAGCTTTACGTTTGAAGTGTTTCGGCGACGGTTTCCAGCCAAGTAACGTTTTGATAACGTTTTGGTCAAATCCACAAATGCCACCAGAAGAATGCTTGATTGTGTTAATTCGCTAACCCATTGTTGAATGTTTCCGGTTACAAACACAGTCTGTACATATAGGGTTATTCTTCGAGAGACGATAAACACAGCAACGCAACCACTTGATGGTACATTGACATAAACATATTACACAGACCAACATCCGTCTCTCTGGACAGTGTGTTGCAATATACAACAATGTGAGGAAAAGGGTCCTACTTCTCAGAGGACACATGCAAATATAAATATATACACTGAAACCTTCCATTTGGAACATTCTTACACATGAGAACGCTTCGGTCAGGCGTTTTGGGTGTGCGGAATCCTGCCCATGCTGCCAAATGAAAACAAAAGTTCAAATGATGACACATGTCGTTTTGTTAGAAAACCCCATAAAATTATTAAACCCTCTGAGGTACCATTGGCGGCGGAAGATTAACAATAGCGCGCTGGTCTGTTCCAAAACTTGAAGCTTTTTACTATGTAGTATGTCCAACATCAAACATATGCCGTTCCCATGTGACAGGGCAGAGCGGAGAGGCCTTTATCAGATGGGCACCGTTCATCTATGCCACCTGGGATACCTGCATCAGACTACACAGTCCGCTCCTAGAAGCCGAGTATGTTTGTAGCATGTGCTTGAAATATCATAAAAAAGGTATTCACATTTCACAACTGATAGACAGGTTTCTGAAATACGTATTCACATTTCACAACTGAGAGACAGGTTTCTGGAACAGGTATTCACATGTCACAACTTAGAGACAGGTTTCTGAAATAGGTATTCACACAGAATAACTGTTCGACACATATCTGACATAGTCGTTTATAAAGGAACCTGACACAGCTATTCACTCCAGTTCGGTCTATCATTTACGGGCTGCCTTGGTGTAGCTGTAATCCTGCAGACTACAACATACATCCACGCAAGGGGTATAAAACATGGTGCAGAATCCAGTCTACACAATATCTGTCCATGGTTCCCAGTGGCCTACATCTGGAGAGCAATACATTAACAAGTGCATCTACGGTAACCTTTCATAAGTCACACTGATGGACGAGTTGCCTTCTTCTTCTTGAAGATGACAGATGGCAGAGCGCGAGAAATGTGTTTAGTTTGTCAGATCCGGGCTCTAATTGCTTCAGATGGACCAGGTGCCAACTTGTCAGTCCCTTTGTCTTAAACTGATACAATAATCTTGTAACATATCTACTCAATGTTATGTAGTAGAGGATTCAAGACAGCTCGGTATGATCACTGTTCCCAGACCTTCCACAGACAATCATTCCATATGGTTTGACACGTTTATCTTAGAATCTGATATCGAGAGGTTATCACCTGTTGTTGGAAATAAACATTCCGTTTTAGGAAATTACAGTGTGTTTAGTTGAAAACTATAGCGTGTCTAGGTTTTTATTCCAAATACATTATTTACCATTCAAGAACAAACTCGGGTAAAATACCCTTATTATTATATGATGTTTATTTGAACTTCTGGAATCGAAACACCTATTCAGTTCCTACATATTGCTGCAATGTGCGAATGACACAAGCCGTTTTGTGTTGGCGGATTAATGTATTGATTAGTTATTAATTAGCTGTACTGTGATAACAGTCAAAATGTACTATGCAAAGACGTTGGGGATTCGCCTTTTGGTGAAACTACAAGAACTTAGTGAAATGTTTGGCAATGAAATTACGTGATTTATGAGGCAAAAACGTAACCAATGAAATGAAAACCCAAGCTCATACACTCCTTAAAAAGGCCTCTGGCAGCAAGTGCCAGTGGAGGAGCTATGCAAGATTTGTAAGGTTGTAAGCAGATGCATATTGGTTTTTTAGGAACTATAGGTCTAAAGACACTTTATTGAACGTAACGGACGTAAGTGTATTGATCATGCGACGTCTGAAGTTTGCTGGGCGTTCACCTTCCATTGGTATGTTGCAAGTGGCTACACATCAGAATATTGTTGATCAAACGCTGCGTATTTCTCAATCTGCCATCAGCAGACTGTAACCCGAGACCAACAATCACATAACGTCGACGACTGACGCCGCTTTGGACGCCCATGGGCAACAAATTGCCAGTCGGACAAGGTAGCAGTTGCAACAGCCAACTGATAAAGAGTGCATCCCAGACTGTGGCATTTGCGTTCATGACGTCCACGTGTCACCCCACAACTTACTGCACGCCATTCTAATCAGAATGGTGGAGGGAACGAAGGTGCTTGGATAAAATACGTTATCATGTTTTGTGTCGGGTCGATGTTTACTCTTGACATCCATGGCTGAATGACCTTGGAAACGTCAGAATGGGCGTTTTAGGGACATTAACGTTGTACATTATGAGTTTTTAGGGTGGGTCCACAATGACATGGGGTGTTATCACAATGTCCAGTCGAACCGCGCCCGATATTGTCAGTGGAAGAATCAAAGGTCAATACTAGTGTTACTATGGAAACAACATCATCAACAACTTGTGCAGCCATTTCATAACGTTTAGGCTTGTCGAACGAGGCGACTAACGGGATCGGTTGGTCAAACTCGCTGGCTTGGTTGACACATGTTAACAATTGCGCTGATCGATGCTCATGCTGTTGATCACTGGATTGTCTGGTCCAGACTCGATTATTTACAGACCGCCGCCATATAGCTGGAATATTGCTGAGTGCGGCGTAAAACTAAACTCACTCACTCATAACGTTTAGGGGAACGTTTCATCTTTTCTCATTGTGCCAGGGTTATGACACAATTCCTCCAACAGCAAAATATTCATGCCATACTATGGCCTCTCCCCTACATAACTAAGCTGGGGCTGACGTATACGTCACAATCTTAGTGAGTGAGTTTAGTTTTACGCCGCTTTTAGCAATATTCGAGCAATACCACGGCGGGAGACACCAGAAATGGGCTTCACACATTGTACCATGTGGGGAATCGAACCCTGGTCTTCGGCGTGACGAGCGAAAGCTTTAACCACAAGGCAAGCCCACCGCCCCACTCGTAGTGAACTCAGTACTACTGTTAGTAAGTAGAACACCATGACCCAAGATTACATTGGTCGACTCATCAGAGTAATCCCTCGTAGACTTCGTTCATGTCTGCCCAACGGAAGTGGTTGTACCTGCTATGAGATTTGTGGCTGCAAAATGCAAATTTCGAAATTGACCTCTGATATCTTTCACGACTTACCTCCCCATCATCTTATCTCATCCATCATTAGTGAGTGGCATGGGTCTACGCCGCTTTTAGCACTATTCCAGCAATATCATGGCGGGGGATACCAGAAATGGGCTTCACACTTTGTACCCATGTGGGGAGTCAAACCCAGGTCTCCGGCGTGACAATCCATCATAAGAAACCACTAGATCTGATCGCCTACACCCTATCAGATCTCATCAGTAAGATTTGCCAGATCAGAAGAGATGCATCGAAGATTCCGAGCTTCCCTTGCTTTGTTGGAATAAAACTACGATAAACTACCATTTTGGCATTGATTTCTTCTTGTGATGGATTGGCACATTTTATGGCCGCTTCGCGTTATCAAGGCTGCTGAGTTGTAAACATATCAAAAGGTTACTTTCCGTTTTAAGACTGTTCGTTGAGGTAGTTATTTTTTCACTTCCAGACTTGACATGTATGTACAACAGATTAAATAGTCGAACATAGTCGTGACATTTGTGTAAACTGAAACTATGGTTTCATATGGTGATATGCATATAATGTGATGATTTAAAGGCACATCTGACGGGTTTATTAAGGGGAGACTACTGTCTGAGCCTTACCACTTTTCAGGACCAGAACATGTACACAGTCACGTCCGACAGATATCAAATCGGAACGGAGTACATGACATCGTTTGTCCCGTTTGCGTGCCTTGTTGAAATCACCATGTTCCACTATGAATGTTTCATTTTATGCACTCCAAGTCTCGCTTTCAAACCGGAAGTGCGGAAGTGAGCAAACGGTCAATTACAAACAACCAGAACGCCGAATACTGCAGAAAATATTCACCAATACGGTGTTTTAATCACGCTATGAACGAGTGTGCCCAGTTACAGAGAAATACACGGTACGATTACAAACATATCAAAATATATCATTATGCAAAACATTTTGGCGTTATCGTGTAAATTATGTTTATACTGGAGACAATCACAAATGTGCACATTGTGTATAGAACATATCCATTGATATAATCGAGTAGAATAATACGTTTCTGTTCCATGGTCACTGGAAGAGTTTGGATAAGTATCGACGCCCAATACGACGTCACATATAACATTGTTTCATTATGTGTGACAACATAAAGTTGTGCTTTACTGTTGTAGACTAATGCATTTGGATTCGAACCCAGGACACACTGTTCAAACGCTGGCTGTCTCATCAGTGCTAGACGATATAAATGTCTTGTTTCTCCCTCCTGTCGCGAATATCATCAATGTGTTACACTAATGGGAATTGTGTTTCAACAGCTTGTATTCTATAAACATCATTTATTAACTCTCTCTCATACATTGGACCAACACAAGCATGGAGGCAGGGTTATTCGAAGATAAATAAATAGAGCGAATTTACCCGTCACCTCAACTACGGACAGCAGAGACTGTCATTTCATTGATCACATTAACCGCTTCCACTTGTATTTCCTCAAGGCGGATCCACATGGGGGTGGTACATTAAGGGGGTGCGCAAAGACCTTTTTTCGGACACCTCTTATACATGTTAACTGTGTCCTCTATTTCGGCCAGGTCTCCCATATGTCTGTGTATCACGTGCACATACCCCACTTTTACAGGCTATTAAAGATGCGATTCTAACTGTGCGTTTCCGTGTCTCACAGTGCGATTCTAACAGCACATGTCCACTTCCTACTCGCCATCTGGACGCGATGCAAAAGGTAGGTGGCCTTCTTTTACACTGTAACGATATGATTAAGGAGTCACGTGTTTATTTCTCAACCCTGACATGCCTAATTATTCGCTGTTTGGATGCGAATCTGACAGCACATGTCCATTTCTTATTCGCCACTACGTTTCAGTCACTGCGTGGCCGTATCTGTTTTTGTCCTGATACTTACACATCACGTTCATCGCTATACTGCGATCCTTACACTGCCGTTACACATCACGTTCACCGCTATACTGCGATCCTTACACTGCCGTTACACATCACGTTCACCGCTATACTGCGATCCTTACACTGCCGTTACACATCACGTTCACCGCTATACTGCGATCCTTACACTGCCGTTACACATCACGTTCACCGCTATACTGCGATCCTTACACTGCCGTTACACATCACGTTCACCGCTATACTGCGATCCTTACACTGCCGTTACACATCACGTTCATCGCTATATTGCGATCCTCACACTACCGTTACACATCACGTTCACCGCTATTCTTAGGTTCTCACACTGCCGTTATACATCACATTCGCTGTTATACTGCGGTTCTCACTCCACCCTTCTACATCTTATCAGCCGTTGTATTGCGATTCTTACAGCGATTGTCCGTCCGCACCCCACTCGCCACTACGATGCGATTCTCACAGTGCGCGTCGGTTTCTCTTTGGGCTTCTCGAAGTCGTAGAGCACATACAGCGGTGTGTAGTACAAGTCCCCCTGCGTATACTCGTCGTCGTCGTCGTCCCTCACGTAACGCTGGCCGAAGAAGTACTCCGAGAGCATGGGTGTGGCTGAAACATGACGTCATATTATCGGTAAAAACTTTAGATGTAAGGTAAGTACGACTGTATGTACGCGCTCTCTCTCGCCTCCCCTACCCAAATGTCATTGTCTGTGGGGTAGTTCTAGTCCGGACTAATGCCAGGCTTTATAGTGATAACACACTGAGATATGATACTGCTGTTTACATCCCAATTGGCCGGGATTGGTATATAGTAGGCACCCTCATTGCAAATTCCATGTACCTTAAATAAGTATGGTAGCACATCTACACTTGATTCCATGTACCTAAAATAAATTATTCCATGTACCTTAAATAAGTATGGTAGCACATCTACACTTGATTCCATGTACCTTAAATAAGTATGGTAGCACATCTACACTTGATTCCATGTACCATGGTAGCACATCTACACTTGATTCCATGTACCTTAAATAAGTATGGTAGCACATCTACACTTGATTCCATGTACCTTAAATAAGTATGGTAGCACATCTACACTTGATTCCATGTACCTTAAATAAGTATGGTAGCACATCTACACTTGATTCCATGTACCTTAAATAAGTATGCTAGCACATCTACACTTGATTCCATGTACCTTAAATAAGTATGGTAACACATCTACACTTGATTTCACAGAACGTTCCCATTTAGGTATTCGAAAAGGTTCCTAAACATGCCATATCACTAAACAATTTAGAGACACATGGAATATAGAGACAATGGTAATTAATTGTTGCTGGTTGTTCGTGTTTTACAATGCATTCAGAGGAATGTTTAAACGGAATGTCATGAATGTATGACTCAATGGAATCAATCCTACATGGAGCAGTTTCAATGCAGCGTAAAGTAGAGCATCATTAAAAGAACATTAGTTTTCCCCTCGAGTCTCTTTGAGAGTAAAATGTGCTGAAGAACATTAAGTAATCAAATATCTCACGCATCCACATGTTATCTCCTTGTGCATCGGCAGACGCTCCTTGGGGATGCGGACCATTTGACAGTCGTGCATCTGCAGCATGAGGGTACAGCTGGTTAACCTGCTGCCCTTGAGGATGCGGGTATGGACGACTTTGTCCATAGCCATGGCCTGGAACCGGAGGTGGTCCATAGTTATAACCTTGACCTTGACCATAACCTTGAACACTGTTTTGATCCTGGCCAAATCCTTGAGCCTGTGACTGTCCATAGCCATGGCCTGGAACCGGAGGTGGTCCATAGTTATAACCTTGACCATAACCTTGAACACTGTTTTGATCCTGGCCAAATCCTTGAGCCTGTGACTGTCCATAGCCATGGCCGGGAACCGGAGGTGGTCCATAGTTATAACCTTGACCTTGACCATAACCTTGAACATTGTTTTGATCCTGGCCAAATCCTTGAGCCTGTGACTGTCCATAATTTTGGCCTTGGAACTGACCATGGTGACTGAGCTTATTGTGTGCTGAACTTGGAGGGAAGCTGTAGCCAGGCTGCCCGTAGCTGAAGGCGATGCCAGGAGTACTGGGTTGACTTACGGAATACCCAGGGGAGGAAGGACTCTGACTGGGTTGGCCGTAGGTATTCGTCAGCACGGAGTTGGTCCAGCCTATGTTATTGTTGGGGCATGATGGTGGTGGCTGTGGAGGTCTGTCCACTGGTGGAGCGATCTGATTGTTTCTTATGTAGTTTTGGACGGCTGAACGGACTGGGATTGTTCCAATGAGGATCTCTATTGGAATCGACAGGTCAAACGCCGGTCCCACGGGGTCTACGCGTAACTGCAAAAATAGAGTCAAAAGTACAGTACAGTGCACTGAATACATGGTGTAGCAGGTTCTTATGCAGGCGGCACTACCCTTGTGAAAGTATATGAAAGAGACAAAACCCTTTCCATAATAATGGGACTGAAATATCTGCTGAAACTATTGGACCATTCAGGCTATTTCATGAGCACGTGTTTATGAATCACGGTTAAATTCTGATGGTACCAAGATTTCTCGTAGATGAGCGTATCGGCTACCCTGCCGTAACGGTTGCATACGCCAAAATCACGAGCATAGGTCAATCGATTGTTCATCTGAAAAACTTACGTAACGTACGGAACAACTCGAAATAGGAAATTGCATTGGATGTCATTGTTGCGGAGGAAATATCCTCCACGTGTCTGCTAAATAACTTTTACAAAACATCGCTGATAACGTGAATGTTGTAACTTTGATCTTTGACAAAGGTCACGCGACGCTCATTTCAATCTTCGCAGAATACTGTGGAGGAACACTATCGGGATGCAAAGGTAGCAGCTCTGCACTGATTAGTGCGCGGCCTTAAACCACTTGGCCTCGTTTGCTGCTACCAGCACTGCACATGTATACCTGTCTTACCTCAATGATGTACTTGATGTCGATGATGCTGCAACCGAGGAGGAAGGATGGCGGCAATGGGGGGATGATCAGCTTCTCGCCGTCCCATATGTCTGTGTCCCCACAGGAGATTGGTCCCCGCTTCAGTTTCCCCACCTGCTGGGTGATTGCCCGGCTTTTGGTGGTAGAGTGGAATACCGTTGTCTGAGAAAGGATTACACGTAATGAACATGAGTGTTGGTTGTGATTAAAACGACACATCATTGCAAACATATACGTGTTTTAAACAAGAGCGGTTACCTGTGTTATCTCGGACTGGTGTTGCGGTTTAGAATATATTGATTCGTGTCGTCAAATTTCTTGGTAATCAACCACCAACCAGTCTACATGTAATCATATTGTGCGGAACAAAGGCGTCTTAAGCACTGAGGTCACCAGTGCCCTATAGTTGTCAGTTTTCGTTACAGTCGACTGTTATGGGTGTGCGTGTAGATGGAGTGGATGGAGATGTTTGGGCTGAGGTGTTACCTATTGTGACCTATTGTGGTCTGTTGGGTCGACCGTCGGAACGTTGCTTTTATAAATAGTTTCAGCCACTGGCGATATTATTTACTGGTAGCGATAACTGGTTGGACTATGACGTTGAATAACCTCTAGTTACTCAGTGGTACATATCATAAAACGGAGCTAGCCTTCAAGGTCTGCAAATCGGTGGAGACTAGTCTCCTACTAGAGTGATGATGAAGACAGGGTATCGCGATGTTACACTGAAGAATAAGAAATTCACCAACCCGGTCTATATATATACTATAGCTTCTAAATAGAGAGCTAAAGATTTTGGAATAACGACACCAAGAATCAGCTCACCATCTTCAGTTCCACCGACGAGCCTCCCATCTTCCTGGAGGACATGTTGTTGACCTCCCCCGTGATCACAATGGCCTCTCCGGGCACAAAGCCCTTCTGTTGGACGCTGAGAACGGCGCTGACAGGCCCCGACCGGCAACACAGGCAGCACAGTCGCTTATTCTTCTTGACTGAAGGGGATGCTGAAAGAAAATGACCAGAAGGAGTCAAGATCCTTGAACACCAGATAAGGCTACAAACGCAAAACGTGGCTCTGGCACCCTTCGGTCGGATGTATTGCCAGTACAAAAATGTATATTTTGTTTCCAGCGTCACACCAAAAGGACATTGTTCCCCATGCTTGAAATTACATTAGCGAGGAAAGTTCAGTGTGTGCCCAGTTAGGTTTGTTGGTACTCTTAGTAGGAAAAGAATAGACAGTGTTAGTCCCTCACCTGTTTTGTTTTTAATATTAACAATACAGGTTTTGAAGCCTTCCTACTTGCAAAAACTGGCATATTTTATGCAACATACGATATGGAATTACTTTTGTAACTCTAGTTATTTTGGTTACCATCTTATTGATGTAATTGAAACAATGAACTTTAACAGAAATGATATATTTTCTTCCCAGCTTAGTTTTACGCCGCTTTTAGCAATATTCCAGCAATACTCCCGAAATGGGATTCACATACTCAGATGAAGGAAGTTAAGTTCAGTGTTTGGTGACAATTAACTGGATCTAAAGTCACACGTGACATAAACACTTCGGCTCACGGCGCCAGTGAGATAACTCTCAACATTGACAGTACCGCTGAAAATGTAAGCCTCGTTTTGGGAACAAACATGGCAGGTAAGTGGCCAAACCATACATTGGTAGATAAGGACAGAGCTGCAAGAAGTAATGTTAGTAGTCCTTGATACATAAGGAGCATTGGTTGGTTTTATAGTTTTAGGGCGATCCTATTTTATAAGGAGCATTTTAACTGTGAAGAGTTGAGTCCCTTTTCACGCCAGCATTATCTGATCGTAGGATGAGATCACAGCGGACTCGCCACGTTTGTGATCCTTGAAGCTTTGGAGATCATTTACTATCGGCTTACCACACCTTCCCGGACAGCCTGAAATCACTAATGTAGTCTGTCTCACAGTCCCTGAACCACATTATTTTCCCTACTGCCAAGCCCATTGCTAAAGACCAAAATGAAGCAAGTCTAGATTTCCTCAGGTTCAGAATCTCACATCTCACCGGGGGTCCTTTTCAATATAAATGGGATTATTTGTTATCAGAATTATATACATTCAGAGACTAAGCGTTAGTCTGTCACTAATAGTGCATATCCCCTTGAACGCGGTACGTCAGTGCTAAGATGACAATACGGCACCCTGCTATGTGAATGCAAATAGTTGGAAACTAGTGACTCAATTTCATCAGGTAATCTTCATTAATCTTTGTGCGATGATACCATGCACGTGAGAGGAGAGTCCACCATATTGCAAGTGAATATTCATCACGAATAAACGCAAGACGCGTGCACCCTTTAAAAATAGAAAACAACAGGTGCATACGACGTAATACGAATTTAGGTGAGAAAGCATATACCTTACTCCTGTTTAAGGTGGAGCTGAGAAACTTTACTTATATCTAAATCAATTTTACGTGTCGAGAAGAGCCTGAAATAGACCATATAACGAATTTATCAGAACCACGACAAAAAGCGTAGCGGAGTGATAAATCAGGGGCACCTGCCGTGCCAACAATTTATTTTACAGTGTTAGCTCGCTAACGAGCAACTTGGGATCGTTTTGGCACATTCCGCCGTCAAGTTCCGATCTGTCCAGCAGAGCAGCAATTAGCTGCAGGAAGACGTTGGGTAAATGTGAACTTGATGCTGCGAACGTAGAAGAAACAAGTCGAGTAGATGATGACTTGGTGTTTATAAGATATGGACTTAAAGCACTTATTTGAAGAGTTTTTACCAAGCAAATTCAGTCTCCTGTGGGGTTAACATGTGTTGAGTAATTTTCCAAGCGCCTCGTTCATGAACGATGAGCACTGAAGTCCGAAGACACATGCTCCATCTTAAGGTAAAAATAACAAAGCTAGCGTTGATTCAAAAACGACGTCCCTTTGGGCAAGCCGAAATATATTCAGTCTAGCATCACTTTGGTCTGTGTATGTGAACATACATGTATGACGACAGTTGAGTTGGGCATTACGTCACATCGGCATTATTCCAGCCATCTAGTGACGAGAACAAGTCTGCATTAGTAAACATCGTAAGTACAGAGTCAAAATGAGTTTTATTTCAAAAACATATATTCATTACATTGTCATTTAAAAGAAAGAAAAAGTCATAGCACTTAATTTAGTCACATTACACGGTTACAATTTATGATACAGATCAACTTCCTTCAGGTAGTTCACTATCAGATGAGCGCTCACGCGGGAGAACAGAAATTTCAGGTTTGTTGCATCATAATGTGAGTCCCTTGCAGACGATAAGTCCACACAGTCAATCAGAATATGCTTGATGGTGAAAACCTCATCGCAAGAGACACACATGGGGGGTCCATCCCCATCCGTTTTCAGCAGATAGTCATGAGTAAACCGACTGTGGCCAATACGACATCGTCGTAAAATTACCTCATCACGTCTTGACTGACAACCCAAGTAGGTATAACCAATTCGGTGTGTGCGTGTGAACATATATGACAGATGTGTGTGTATGTGAATATATGGGACGAGTGTGTGTGTATGTGAACATATATAAAGGTACATGTGAATATAATCGACGAGTGTGTGTGCATGTGAACACATATGTCGGATGTGTGTGTATGTGAACGAGTGGGTGTGTATGTGAACATATATGACGGATGTGTGTGTTTGTGAATATATGGGACGGGTGTGTGTGTATGTGAACATATATAACGGATATGTGTGTATGTGAATATATGGGACGAGTGGGTGTGTATGTGATCATATATACCGGATGTGTGTGTATGTGAATATATGGGACGAGTGGGTGTGTATGTGAACATATATAACGGATATGTGTGTATGTGAATATAATCGACGAGTGTGTGTGCATGTGAACACATATGTCGGATGTGTGTATGTGAATATATGGGACGAGTGGGTGTGTATGTGAACACATATGACGGATGTGTGTGTTTGTGAATATATGGGACGGGTGTGTGTGTATGTGAACATATATAAAGGATGTGTGTGTACATGTGAATATAATCGACGAGTGTGTGTGCATGTGAACACATATGTCGGATGTGTGTGTATGTGAATATATGGGACGAGTGGGTGTGTATGTGAACATATATGACGGATGTGTGTGTTTGTGAATATATGGGACGTGTGTGTGTGCATGTGAACATATATAACGGATATGTGTGTATGTGAATATATGGGACGAGTGGGTGTGTATGTGAATATATGGGACGAGTGGGTGTGTATGTGAACATATGAAACGGATGTGTGTGTATGTGAACATATGGGACGAGGACGAGAGAGTGTGTGTATGTGAGATATATGGAGAGAGAGAGAGAGAGAGAGAGTGAGAGAGAGAGAGAGAGAGAGAGAGAGAGAGAGAGAGAGAGTGTGTGTGTGTGTGTGTGTGTGTGTGAACATATATGCAAAGAAGAGAGTTTGGCGACGAGTTATGTGGTCGTCTAAATGCTCGAATCCTATCCTAGAATCAAGGCCAGTTACTTGAAATCCCAGATTAAGCACGACTGTCACTCTGAAATTTTGTGAGCCCAACACCGTACTCCTGGTACACGTCTAGGACCTGCTTAACTCTGGTGAAGTTTTATTCATCACATACGAGACGCACTCACATTCCATTAATCCGCTCGATGCCGTCATCATAATATTGGCCCGGAGAAATATGTTTAGAAAAACGTGTATTGTGTAGTAGTGTTTCTTTGTACACAGGCAGTCTTCCTCAACAGGAAGATACAACATGAAGGCTATGCTAGGTGTCAGCGCAGAGTAGGGACATACTTTGTACATGGAAATTCGCGCAATGTAGTATTGTGTTGAAAATATTTTGTTTATCATCGTGTTATGATTTAATTTCCAGTACATGTATACTTTATCACAGGTACACCTTCCGAATGAATCAGTGTTAAGCTTATAAAGGACGGGTACCTGAAAGGTTGGATGGTGACCACTTCCTTTGATTCACCGAGGACAGAGTAAGATGACTTCCTTTGATTCACCGAGGACAGACTAAGGTAGCTTCCTTTGATTCACCGAGGACAGACTAAGATAGCCTCCTTTGATTCACCGAGAACAGAATAAGATCACTTCGGTTGATTCACCGAGGTCACGATGCACGACTCACAAAAACATTCGCAATGACAACTCACAAAACTTCACCGAGGACAGGCTACCTATTCCAGAACAGGCGGAGTGCCTTCACTGCCTCAGTAAAGATAAGCAGAGTACCTTTAACACACCGGTGATCCCCACAGTGTATATATGCATCATACAGTATATAACCTTTCCTAACAGCTCCTTATCTATTCTCATTATCTTAAGCCTTGAAACTCTTTGTGTGATTGCATTCCATGTTGAGCTTTGTTTCTACACGATGCCAGACGATGTGTAGGTACAGGCGTACAGGTATGCGTGGTGTACGTAACTGTTGGAAAACATTAGGTGTAACTTCCAAGGTATAGATATTATTTTTAATATTTTTTTCGGTTTGCTCTTCTTTTGCAGTGGCAAAGTACAAAAGGAACATAATGTGTGATATAGTGCTGTGAATGCCAGGAATGGGCTCCAAGTAAACACCACAGAAATAGAGCAAACGCTAGAAATAAACTCGTCTGGCACTTTGAAAGTAAGTTACATAAATCTGGGTCTTAACAAGACCTGAGTAAAGCTCACAGTGAGTGATGAAGAGAAGATACATATCACTGTACACCTGGAGACTGATACAAACTGGAGAAAGGCAAGACTCGGACCCAGCTGAGATGTAGCCTGTCTCAAAGTCCCGGAACCATATTATGTCCCTTCAACCCAGTACTGCATGTAAGGGAAACTCTCTAAGCGAAGCAAGTCTAGATTTCCTTAGGTTCAGGCCTCCATCCCCTTCGGGCTCCTTTTCAGTTTGAATGGAGCTCTTGTTTTTGTTACATAGTTTACGAGACTAAGCGTTAGTCTAGATAAGATGAACCTCTG